AGCTTTGATAAGTACCTGATGTTAAATATGTTCGTTCGTTAATTATTCCCCTCCATGAATGGCCTCCATGGCAAGCACTTCAAATGCCTATCCAAGCTACAGTTATAATTAAAACAAAATTAAACCATTGCAATATTATTTCGAATACAGTTTAGAATATACACAACTATAAATTAAGGCCGCATTTAGGTTCGCTTTAAATATGAAAACTTGCACCAACAATGAAAATAAAAACAGAAATTTGAGACAGCGAAATGTAGTCCAATATTATCAAACGTATCCTGGTTACCTACATTTTCAATTTTCCCTGAAAGTTTTAACATCTTTTGAGCAAGAAGATTTCAACATTTTACACCTACTGGCAGTCACTAACACTTACTCAGGCTCATTTTGGTTAAAAAAAAATTGGTTCATTATTGGACACAAGTTATTAGGCAACTACATTTTCATGTCGAAATCCAGTTTTTCAGAGTGTTTGTACAACCACCCTGCTACAGTTTACAGTGACAATCTTAAATACATTAGAATACAACTCAAGCATAAGATAAAACCACCCTGAAGTAGACTATAGTCCGGGTATATCTAAGATAAGTGTTGTGTACTGTGTAATAAAATTTGCACTGTGCACATAAAACCAAAACAAATGATGTAAATGGTGGAATGAAATCTGCAGGTTTTCTTAGCTTAAATTTTCAAGGTATAATGTTCAGCTTACTGCATCTACAGAGGGAAAGTGAGAGGGGGGGGGGGGGTAAAGGAATATGAAACTGAACAGACTATGTGATGCATGTAGCTGGTCAGGATTGCTTAAGTCTCCAAGTTGAGGTATATATACAAGGCAGACTTTGAAATCGCAAAAAAAAAAACCTGTTAACAAACAAGCTTCTCTCTGATTGGTCTGACTGTTAGATGTTAGGGTCAGGCAGCCAATCAGAAACAATCTTGTAAGTATCTTTGCATTGATTCTAGTCTCACCTCAGTGCGATACTGTGTTTCAGTGGTACGTGCTAAATTCGGCAACTTTATATGTTTCAATTAACATCTGGTATGTGACTATGTACAGCGTATGGGATATCTGCCATTCACTGAGGTAGTTAAATAAATAAATAACCAAACAAACAAACAAACAAACAAATAAATAAATAAATAAATAAATAAATAAACAAACAAATAAAACAGTATGTGATCAATGAATTATTATGTCCCTTGAGTGTAACTGTAATACGACCAATCAGTAAAAATAGGTTTAGAATCTATATTGAAAAGTAAGTGAACAAACCATGAAAAGAAAATATTGTATCTATCATGAAGACTTTCAAAAATACTGTAAAATACTTATTTTTGCTTGCAACTAATTTTTGCTGAAGGAAAGATCCAGTGAAAATAAAATCCAGCGAATATACCTTTTTAGACCCCGTTCGGACGAAGTCTGAAAACGGGGACTTATAATTTGGCCGTCCGTCCGTCCGTTCGTGCGTCCGTGCATCCGTCTGGAGTCATATCTCAGAATCCCTTGGACCGATTCCGTTCATTCGTTGCATGTGCCTAGTACTTTATGTGGGACATATGCACATGCAGTGGTTTAGCGATTAGATTCAAAATGGCCAACTGGCAGCCATATTGTTTTTTGAAAATGTTGTATTTTGGACATGCTTTGTCAGTTTTCATTCAAACTTGGTACATAGATTATACATGTTAGGATACATGTCCATGATGATTTATTTCACAATTGGATCAAAGATGGCCGACTGGCAGCCATCTTGTTTTTTGAAAATGTCGCATTTTGGACATGCTTTGTCAGTTTTCATTCAAATTTAGTACATAGATCATACATGTTAGGATACATGTCCCCGACCGTTCGAGAGTTCCTGAGTATGTCCGTCCGTCCGACCGTCCGTCCGTCCGTGCATCAGTCTGTCCAACGTCATATTTCAGAATCCTGTGGACCAATTCCGTTCATTCTTTGCATGTGCTTAGTACCTTATGTGGGACATATGCACATGCAGTGGTTTAGCGATTTGATTCAAAATGGCCAACTGGCAGCCATCTTGTTTTTTGAAAATGTTGTATTTTGGACATGCTTTGTCAGTTTTCATTCAAATTTAGTACATAGATCATACATGTTAGGATACATGACCATGACGATTTATTTCGCAATTGGATCAAAGATGGTCGACTGGCAGCCATCTTGTTTTTGTTTTTTTATGTGGTATCTTGGACGTGCTCTGTCAGTTTTCATTCAAATTTGGCACATACATGTACTTTATACATGTTAGGATACATGGCCATGACAATTTGTTTCAAAATCTGGTGAAGGATGGACGATTGACAGCCATCTGACTTTTTGGCCTTAATATGACAAGCACAAAGAGAACTTAACAGGGACTGTGTCATTTTCAATGACTTGTTTCCTATATTTTAAGTTCAACTCGTCAAAAATCAGTGAAAATAAATTCCATACAAATCACCCAAAAGGTCTTTTAAGCGAAAATTAATAATCCCAGCTAAAATAGATTATTTTACAGTAATATTGATTTTAAAGTTGCAGATGGTGTATACAAACATATATATGCGTTTGTAGCAAACTGATTGTTGAAACGCTTCCAAGATTAAAACTACCTTCAATCACCTCAACTTAATTTATTTCTTTTTTTAGGAGTTTGTTGAACACTCCATAAACCATAAACGGTATTCTGGCTCATTGTGGATTATACAGGGTTTAGAAATTTTAGTATTTTCTCTTTCACTTTCACTACAGGGGTTTTTCTAGAAAAAAAACTGCTATTCAACGGTGCCACCAAGTGGGGGAGATAGGGTCCTCCCTACCAGGATGTGGAGTTTTTGATAATTCTAAGTTAAAGTGGAGCATTCTATGGCTTCCTTGGGGCGAAAATTACTATCAGACGGGTCACAGTTGAAGACTGTGGCCACATGTGATCCCTGGTCAATCAGAATTTTATGGTTGCCAGAGGATCTGCTCCCCAGGGTAAGGGGGCACATGGCCATAGCATGAGGGCGCTGCGCCCCTGTTCCCTTATTTAAAAAAATCCCTAAGCTAGATTCTATCTACAATCGATACTGCTCTATTGATTTACTTTCACCATCTGAAATATAGAGGGCGTAAGTCATTTTAAGCATCCAAGTCATTTGTGATTGTGCATTGCATTGCAGAAAACAGTACCATGGAAGTTAATTTCACAACAGTTAATATCCTTGTGTATTATTTCAGATATAGCAAGTTATATTCTTGCAAACTTGAATCTTGTGGAGACAGCAACAAACTTCAAGACCAAGACATGGCGAGTGCAAGTGATGAAAGCGTTTCAGATATTACAAAAGAAATCGTTGATTTAAATGTCAATGACCCTTCTGCGAAAGACGAAAATGGAGAAGAAACCACGGATGCAGCTCCAGTGCGAATCAATAAAATACTGCATCCAAGTGCTGGTCAAGACACAAGCGATAGTTCACCGGAAGAGGTAGTAGATGCAAAATTCACAATCGGGTAAAAAAAAACAATTTTTTATTTAAGATTTTTTGAAAATTTTATAGTACCCTCCTGCCTCTTTTCTCAGGACGATGTAATTCACAACATGAAGATTACAATTGTACTGAATATTCGCAGATTGTTCTTTTCTGATATTATGTAATTGTGGTGGCTACTTCTCATAGGCTATTTAAACTAATTAATTATTCACATATCATTCAACATATTTTAAAATATTTTCGAATATTTTAGACAATGAATCATGAAACAAAGTATGTATGAAAAACATGCAGATTATGCCCCTCTAATCTACGTACAAAATATTCTGAGAAACCCTATTCGTGTCTTGTATTGAGAAATTAGATCTAAAAACAAAAGAAAATTGCATTTTGACACTTGAGGGTGCTATACCGAATTCCTTTCCTATTCTCTGCAGTAGCTCGAAAAAAGAATTTACACCATACAGAACCACGAGTCATAAAACATTAGTTAATGAATATGATATGACGCATGCAAGACGAGGTAGAGTGATAATTATTAACAACAAAAACTTTGAGAAAGAAACTGGTATGAACTTGAGAAGTGGAACTGATGTTGACGCTTTCAACATAGTGAATAGTTTTCAAAGACTTGGTTTTGAGACAACACATTATAACGATCTGAGTGTTAGAAAGATGCTTGCTGTTATGAAAATAGGTAAGAAATGATTTGTAACTTTTCTATCATCACCTAGTGGCAGTGAGTTTTCTCTCTACCTATCAGCCGAATATCTGCGTCAGTGTGCCCCCTAAGCTGATAAGACGTGCCACTGACACAATGAAATGTGTTGGGACGCAAATTGTTGTGCTAATTCACTGGCTTGTCATTGACACAACCGGAAATTATATATTGCTATACTGTGAAATGACTAATTTTCACTGGGTTTAAATTAATTGCTAATTTACCATTTCAAGCATATTCAGTGGATTTTTAATTCACGGTTTCATCATTTAGATAATGTGTTCTATGCTAAATTTGACATATTCACTGGGTTTTAATTTAGCGCATTTTCCAGTCAGCGAAATAAGCAAAATTAAAACCCAGTGAATAATTAATTCCTTTACAGTAGTAATCTTGAATAGCATTTTACTATAATAGTTATAGAATTTGTTTACTTCACATTTTATAAACAAATTGAGTATAAAAACCAAGCCACAAGCTGACTCAACTTCATTTTAGGGATTTTATTTTGAATCAGAATCCTTACAAAATCAGTTCTGTTAATAAAGAGAATACTGTGTGGATATTTTGTGATAAGAATAACTAAAACTGACCTTTGCTTCTTATATTTGTCTGCATCATCATAATTTCATTCAATAGTAGGTTTCTCTCATTTCTTTATTTCATACTAAAAAAGTTTGATTTTTGTAATAATTTCTAGATATTATTTATTTTTGATCGACAGTGTCGCGTGACGACTTCAGTGATTGTGACTGCGTAGCATTTATAATACTCAGCCACGGTGACGATGGAATTGTGTACGGAACAGACGGCACACTTGAGGTTGATACAATAACAGAGTTCTTTCAGGCGGATAAATGTCCAACTCTCGCTGGAAAACCTAAACTTTTTTTCATCCAGGTATGAAATGCTAATTATTTTGAATGAAATTGAAAAATTCATCATTGTTTCTGCAATTATACCGGAATATAAGAAACACTTTGTATGGATAATATATATAAAGCTTTACATACTACTGTACAATGCTTTATTTTAGCTGGAATTAATTAAATAAATTTTAAGTGTTTTGTATGAAATTTATTTTCACTGATTTTTGACAAGGTGAATGTAAAATATAGAAAAAGGGTACATTTGCTGGATTTTACTTTCACTGAATCATTCCTCCAGCGCAAATACTGAAAATTAATTCCAAGTGAAAATAAACTATTTTTGGCTCAACGGACCATAGGTCCACTGAGCCTATGGGATGGGTTTCTGTCCTGCGTCTGTCCTGCGTCTGTCGTCCGTCTGTCTATCTATCTATCT